AGGTCCTGAGTATCGTGGCGATGATAACAATTCACTACAAAGTCACGGGCGCCAGGGGGTCGCAAGGCAGGCAAGCCAGGCCCCATCCAAATCACATATATATGATTAAGCATAAATTATTTCCGACAATAGTAGTTCTCACGACCGTCAGTAGTCCTTGAAAAGGAACTTGATCACTCTAGGCCGCTTAAGCAAGAATATTGGTAGTCTCTAAAATGACTCACATCGAAATCAAATAGAATCGTCGATTGCAATGGCAAACACATGTTTACTTTATCAATAAATAACCACTATATGCATGAGTTAGGAGAGGTCAGACTTGCCTTTAATGCCACATCTGCTCTGTGATCCAGTAGTGCTCGTGGTTGTGTAGTGGAATGGTTGCATCACTACGATATCAACGAGACGATATCGAGCCCTACTGGAGATGCAGATAAGATGATGAAGCGAGGTTGGAACTGCAGTCCATTCCAGACGGGATGAGGCTAGGGTAAATTCAAAACCATCGTGAGGCATGTTCATCAGATTGTTGGAAAACTCGGATATCAGTCACCAAATCACTTCAAATGACCAAGGCTGACTAAATTCTTACTCGGGAAATTCAACTATCCGCCCTTACATCACCATAAGCGAATAAATGGTAGTCTATAAACCACCATATACGATGATAAAGTGGAGTTACTGAAAAAGGCAAATGATGATCTTCAGCAGGTCGCCCAATCAAACTCACCCCTGAGTTAAATCTAAGGGAAATCCCACTGTGAATGCTCACACACAAGTGGGATTTTTGCAGGCAGCGGTTCCATCAGCTCGTCTCAGCAACTCAGGTTTCAAGTCTCCATATGCGAGCCAGTGCATGGCTTCATATGCATGGTTGTAAAAAAATAACTCAAATCTACATCTTGTAATTTACACAAAACAGAAGGATTTTCTCGTCTCGTAATAATGAAGCCGACGAAAAATAGGATAAATAGGAAAAAAAGAGAAATCATCAATACAAGAACACATGGGAGAAGCAGATGAACGGTTACCCTGTTTAAAGACCCAACCCAGACGAAACCAAACAGGATTGGATCGATGGGAGAGCTGATATGAACATGAATCGGATGAGTTACGGAAACACCACAGTCGTGGTGGGCACTTCGAGACAAAGCCGTCAGAAGATCCTATTGAAAAAAGATCCCAATCAAGCATGTAGGAGTTGGCGATTGTGTGCAATCGTATCTGTGTTGGTGTAGGCAAATGTAGCATAGACCGTTCTGGGATTCAGCAAACCGTTGGGCTCTCCAACACGAACCAAGGCGCCTGAATTAGTATGACGTTGTGAAAATGCAGAGTATAGAGCTTCAAGTAAAAGGAAGGACCGGAAGGTAGCTGCATGAAAAAGAGCGTCAGAATGGAGCAGACTGACGACTACAAAGCATTTCGAATTGAGTATGAGTCACCAAGTGACCCGCCCACGGGCTGACGTGTATCTATGTTCCATGCGCGTATGTGTGTATGTGCGCACGAAAAAAAGAAAAAAAATGAAGATACAAATGAGAGAGTGGGAGCAAAGGCATAAGACTGAGTCATTCAAGATTGGCCAAGAGGCGAACAGCATCAAATCCGGTGACCATGACAGGAGAACACAGAGTGCGAGTTTCGCGCAAATCGGTGCTTCAATCAGTTTGTCCGAGAGAACGAGGCTGCTTGATTAAGGTTGAACAGACAGTCATATTCTGATGGTGGACTACAAAACTCGAAGTATGACGAATAAGTTGAGGGTTAGTCAAGGTGAAGTGAAACGAATTAAAACGAAGGCGATAACACGGAGTGGAGCGTGAAAATGCCTGATTGTAAAGGGTTACAGTGATGGTCAGCGTCAGCTATCACGAGTAGGTTAAAATAAAACTTAAACAAGGCTGTCAAGAAAATAACGAAAATGTCGGACAATAAAAAGTAGTAAAACAGTATAAAATAATTCGAAATGCACAAAGGACGTATGAAATAATGTTAGGAAACCCTGATGACCAGTCAGTTGATAATGAGACAAGCTGAAAAGAATAGTAGAGTAGCAAAAAAGTACCAGCTGTAATACAAAAGGAAAAATTCATTTGTTCCCAAACAGTGATAAAAGAACAAAGATCATCTTGGCTGGTCTGGTAAAAAAGCAATTGAGGAAAATTCGATCCCGTAGAGGTAGGAAGGGAGATATTCCAAGTTGGAAAGAGATCTATTTTGAATAGTTTAGGTAGTTAAAATGTGAGATCAGGTATTAAGAGGATAATAAGGATGTTAATATATATGATTTGTACAGAGAATAACTTAAATGTGTTCCTACACTAGCATGTATATACGGAAAGAAAGACAAACAGATGACCTTCGGGAAAAAAAACGCATAACTTGCAGACAAGTAAAATTAATGTGAAAAGGAGTGCAGCAAATGCCTTGGCACAACATGAAAATCAACCTACATGTGTACCTATGCATATACATGTATAAGAGAGTACGAAAAATGCTGGCCGAGTTATTTGTACATAATAGCTAAATTAACGAAAAGTCTAGATTCCAGAGACAAGAAAAGGAGGCGAAGGGATGATTATTGAGCCAGAAGCAGATTCAGTAAATTAGCACCAATAATGTGCCTATAACCTATTGGAGAGGATAGGAGGGAAATAATTTAGACTTGACATATCCGGGCTGCGCCACTTGCCGAATATACAACTAGCAATAGGCTGGCATACATAAACAGACCTCAACTCCTAGCACACCTCGCATCAACACAAGCTAGTCAACAAAGTGACGAGTGAAAATTTAGCTAATAAGATATGAAAAGAAGAGAATGCGTATAGCCATAGTAACGGGAAAGCAGTATGGAAAATTCATAGATGATGGGATAGTAGTCCTACAGTTTTTGATTACCAACAAAGATGCGTGTAGGAAATGAAGGCCAATAAAAGCCTTAATCACTATCGGGCAATAAAAAGGACAATAGGACAGGATAAGGCTGGATGCAGAAACCAGGTTTTAGAGTTGTGGATGGCTGGTAAAGGATGTTTCAGACCAGATTACTTGGTGACAGAACAGCTTTGCCGACATTTTCGAGCCCAACCACATCGATTGAGGGTGACTGGGGTGGTGGCGGAGGTGGATGAGATGGAGGTGCAGTAGGTTGGGAAGAGGGAGCAAGCCGATTGAGCCAGCCAGAGGGATCGTTGCCAGTCGCTGAGAGCCCTGAAAGTAAGGGCATTGTTTGTCCCGCAGACGCAGCGGTCGCAGATGTGTCCGAAAAAACGCGACCACCGGCATGCGAGGCGCCACTTTGTTGGGTATGATGGTGATGCCCGACAGAATGTGTATGCAAATGACTCAGTAACAATTCTTCACCTCCCGGCGACGCCGAAAGTATTGGATGCTGATCAGCGGCAGCAAGATGCGCGTGAGGACCAGAGAGAACCTGGCGCCCTGGCAGCAAGAGAAAGCCGCCAGCTCGAGCTCCACAGCCACTGGTTGCAGTGACACCTGGCCGTGGGATCGAGCCGAGGCAGCAAAGACGAGAGAAGCAGCGCTGCCAAGAGAGCAAAGTCTTGCCACTCCAGATCCAGATACCACTGGTGATGCCTACAATCAAAGTCATCAGGTAGTTGATCATGAAAAGCTCAAATTCAGGCTGCTCTGAGGCCAAAGGCCAGCTAGGCGAAAGCGAGTTTAATCCGGACGCGGCTGCTGCAGCGGCTGCTGCAGCGGTAGCAGAGGTGGCGGAAGAGTGATTGACCAATTTGAGCAGGAGGATGGCGCAAATTGAAGGGTTATGTGGCAGACCAGTGACATCAGAGACGAGCCCGAGCCCACCGGCTCCAACTCGAAAAGCAGACGCAGCGGCGGATGGGAAAGCAGGTCGAGATAGACAAACCACACGGATATACCAGGTGAGCATCCAATCGTCAGTCTTGCGCGATATGTGTAAATAGCAGGCGATCACAATGACAGCAGGCACCATGTAGAGCAGGCTAAAGATACCGATTCGCATGATCAGCTTCTCTAAGTCATATGTTTTCGAGCCACCTGTCTTTATAATACTCCGGATACGCATCAAGGAAACAAATCCTGCGGCCAGAAAGCAAGTTCCAATGATCAGATAGATGCATAGCGGCGCAATCAGAAAGCCAAGCAAGATGACAGAATCCGTAAGTCCAGTGAAGCAGACACCGGAAAGTGGATCTCCATCAACCTAAATGGTTGGAATGAAGGAGTATATACTAAATCAAAATATGCGATAATCGAAACCCAAGTAAACATGGAGACAAATAAGAAGCTTAGATTCAGTTTAAACCAGTGATTTCTCAACGGATAGATGGCCAAGTGATTTCTGAAACGTCTCACCGACATTTTAGCCAAAATAGAAAATGAGGGAAGCATTTTAACTCACTAAAACAGCCTGGTAAAATTATATTGATTACCTTTCAATCGCATTCACTCTGCACGGAGACCTTGTTTAGCTTTCCCTCCTGATTGGAAGAGGTACAAACACAGCCCATCTATTTAGATGACAATAATATTCCAAACATGCTGCTGTATTGTGGACATGATTGAAACGGCAACGATTTGCAACTGCTTCTGTCATTCTGATAAATCCTGTCATCTGGGTCGCTCGAACCTGGTAGCCTTCACTCCCACAAGCCCCATCAGCTTTTACATTTTGTTGTTTAGCCAACTTATCCCTTCTATGGCTAAGTATCTTGTGTCATCGCGTCCATCGGGCCTATAGAATCGTCAACGTGGCTGGACACTAATAGTGCTATGTTGCCACCATTGTCGGTCAATGTATGGAAAGTTCGGAAAGGAATCACACATGGGTGTGATCTACACATTCGAGCTGTATTCCAGACAGTACATCAGATCCAAAACCAGTTCTCCATACTTTTCGTAAAGCCCCATGAACTTTCCAAGTCTGGTCATCATTTCTTGACATAAAGCTAAGCCTTTAAATTTAGTTAAAATTCTCACATTCTTCTCAACTCTGTATTGTAGTCGCTAACTCACTTTAAGCCTTCGTTTTATAGATGTATACTGACCAGATGCCTTCAGTTTAGTCTGTCCGAAATGCTCCAGCCCAGCTTATAAATAACAATTAGTATATGCGAAGAGAGGTTGGGTTTCGAGGAATCTCTTACTTCATAATTGTTGAGATTACTTTCATTTCGAGTGAAAGTGTTTAATGAATAGATTTGAAGATCGATCCCACTAGAAGACGACGG